GCAATAAAAATATCATATTCGGAATCAGGATCAAAAACTGGGTCGACCAATGTGTATTTTGAAAATTTTTCTTAATTTTCATTTTTGATGAATTTTTCAACGTGAAAATTCGACAAAAACTAATTAGTTAGATAGGGTGGAAATACACATTGGTCGACCCAGTTTTTGATCCTGATTCCGAATATGATATTTTTATTGCATAAAAGTTGAGTTTTGACGAAGAAAATTGAGAATTACGAGCACAATTCTGACTTTGTAGAAACATATCTGTTGTCAAGGTATCCCAGGACAATTTTTTTCTATATTATATATAAATTGTAGCGAGAAATTCTCTATCGGATGAGATATTATTTGAATTTTTTCGTTATGCCGTTATTTTTTAAATGGGACTTTAAGATAGTAGAGAAACATAAATTAACGTTAATTAGCACTAATCAGTTATTAACAGAAAGGAGAAAGCAAAAGTCTTTTGTTCCTTTCCCATAGTAAATATTCTACGCACATTTCTCTATCGAGCTAGATGAGATCCAAATGATTTATGATGAAAGAGGAACAGCGAGGAAATTTTTTAATAGTAGTTCTGTCCTCAAAAATTAAACATCATTTTTTTAAGTAATTAATTTGTTCTTAGCCAAATAAGGCCAGCAAGCCGAAAAAACTTCAGAACATATACTTCAAAGTGTTCTCTACAAACTGGGAAATCTTAAAGAAAATCTAAACGTGAGACACCCCTTAATGGATGAGGTATGCCGTATGTTTCTTCTTCTGATCATATAAGCAAAACAACCGGTGCATGCCTAGTTACATAAGATCGAATTATAAGACCTCTTGACGATTTTCAACAACGTTCCTATTTAAGTATGGAGAACAGGTCAAGTTTTAGCTGATTTTACGCAACTGTCAAAAGAAATCTTGATCCCGGTAAAAGAACATTTCCAGTCCCGATCCCGCCCATGTCTATTTAAAATATATATGTGCATATCACAAGTATAAAAGTTAGGGTGGAAATACACATTGGTCGACTCAGTTTTTGATCCTGATTCCGAATATGATATTTTTATTGCATAAAAGTTGAGTTTTGACGAAGAAAATTGAGAATTACGAGCACAATTCTGACTTTACAGAAACATTTCTATTGTCAGGGTACCCTAGGACACTTTTTTTTCCCATATTATATATATCAAATTGTAGCTTGAGAAATTCTCTGTCGTATGAGGGAATTATTGTTTGAATTTTTCGCTATGCCATTATTTTTTAAATGGAGCTTGGTGTCCAAACGCGTGTAAACGACGAAATAACAGAAACGCGTTTCGGATATCGATCGAACAGCATTTGGACACCGTTTCAATCGATAACAAAATCTCATGAGTTATATCTATCATTTTTCTCTAGTGCAATGTTGATGCATGTAAAGTCATATTTTCAATTTTATTTTACGATAAACATTTCTCTTGTTGTTACGTGTCTTCTCTTGATAATACGAATTGTATTTTTGAAACGTCGATAAATAAAATTTAAAAAAATTTATAATAAAAATAATGAAATTCAAAACACGCTGTTGTATTACTAATCTTCTTTCTTAAATTATTCCCTTTAAATAAGTTAAATGTTTTCAAATGTCTATAATAATATGTAAAAAAATTTCTTAGTGAAATAATATTTATTATTATTGTTTTTTGTCCTGTTGTCTTTACCCATATCGAATGAAAATTACCAGAACTAAATAAACATTTCGAGTTGATCATGAATACACAATATCATTGTACATATTATTTTATGTTACAGTTTTTTATATTGTGAGACATAGTCAGTATACGGACAGATACATGCTGTGAATTATCTGTTGAGAACAAAAATACATTTGAATATTCATATAATGCGACATAGAAATATCTAATACGGTTATACTTACATACGGTTACTACATACAATGTTATGTTAGAAAAACAACATAATTCAGATAATATTCAGATTTGAAATCGGCACTAGCTATATTCTAATTCAACTTGGAAAGAGAGTCTATACGTACGATTAGAAAGCAGTCAATCAAAAACAACATTATGATTACCGAGTTGATAGTTATAGTTCTTAGTCGATTTGCTATAGCTTCGTGCAAAATACATTGTGATAGAACTTAAGTCTTTTCAATCACTCGCTTGATGTATAATCTAATGTGATAGTTGAATATTACTGTATTCCATGCTTGTTTCTTTCTCATAATCGGCTGTTTTCAATCGTATAACAGCAAGAATGAATCGATAAAAACAATCTCATCTTCTTTTTATCTTTTTTCTGTAAAATATTCACGACCAACTACCGTTCTGATATTAACCACTGTTATTTAACAAATGATTTTGATCAAACTCATGCAGTTCAAGTGAAAACATAATTGAAGAAGAATTGATCTCAAACTATTGAAAAATGAGATTTATATCAAAAAGTCATTAGTAAAAAAATAATAGGCTAGCAACTATTCAGACGTCATTAATAGCGAAGTTCTCAATAAAGTTTAGTGCTCATTAATTATACTCTGATGTACTACATTTGCGCTCTCTGGAATGCTTTTATTTAGATAAAATCAAATACCTTTCCGTTTCTCCTCATTTGAAATGTTCGAAAATACGAGCAGCATCAAGCGTTGTTTTTGGGACCTCAATAATTTTCACTATTTTAGACTATATAAAACAAAATCCTAAAAAGTTTTTTCTTTCCCAGTATTGATCGCCGATTCTCGTTAACTAAACGAATTCTCTGTATTTCTGTCAAAATAACAACTAACAAAGAATGACTAAATGTATCTAATCGAGTATCTTAAATGCGGGCGTACTATTAAAATTTTTTAGAAATATTTTCTTCTGCTTGAAAGCAGCAGAAGCGTCCACTTTTTCCTGATGCGAAACTAGTAATTAATTTACTATGAACTAAAAAATCATGCCGTTGTATATAAAACATGATGACAAGTCCGAATCTAGTGAAAAACCTGAGTAAAAACATTTTAAACTTCATGACGCATTTTTATCGTGCATCAATTAAACTGTTGAGTGATCTACAATGGCGTACTGTGCATCTCAAAAGTTTCTAATAAAAGTTTAAGACAACATACCGAATTAAAAATCTGACTATTGACTAGTCAGTTAGAACAAACTTTTTCAAATAAACAAGACTTTGACATAATGATTATTTCTGTCATTTGGAAGATATAGATAATATATGAATCGTCTGTTTCTCGTCAAAATAATGAGATTTTGTAGTCGGTTGTCATTGTGATTAATCACAGCGAAAATGATTTGTGAGATCACATTGAAAGCCGATTCCATTTTCTTCATCAACGACATTTCAATTATTTGTAAATTAAATCGTATCAATACATATTACCAAATTGGATTATCATTATACTTTTCTCAATTGTTTAACAATTGAAAATTATGATCAAGTTAATAACCAATACAAATACATCGCAATTAAATATGATTGGCTAAACAAATCGTATGTTAAACAAATAATTAATTTCTCCTCCTTTTTTTTACTTTTCTCCTCTATTGTGAGTGTATTCATCATGTACATATAATCAACGATGAAAAAAAAATTATATATCTCATTCTAAAATTTCAGAATAACAGATTTTCAACATTGATCAAGATTGAGTGTGAAGATTGTATTAGTTATTTAAAATGTCATTGACCTCGACTACGGTGAGTAACAATCAAAATCGATTTTCTCTATTGATTTATAATATCAAAGATGAAATATTAACAGAACGTCCTCTATTTTTAAGTTTAGCACGGTGGATGATACAGCGCGGAAGCCTTCGGAAAATAAGACTACTCCTCGCTCTCCGCGAAGTTTTCACTCGGGACATACGAGATTTTAAATGTTCGTCACTTTAGAAACTTTTTTTAACTTTCGGATATTTTTCTACTTTTTGTTGAAAATTTTTTAAACATTTTAGTTCGCAGAGCAAAAAGTTGTTCGAAATAATAACACTTTCTAGTTTTTCCGTTAGTCGGAATAGAAAATTGAGGAAAAGCAATAAAAAATCTCACTTTATCAGATTCGCATGAGGAACTGTGATAGAAGTTTTGTACCATTCGAGTGAAGTTTCGGTAAATTTCTAATGTATATGGATTTGGTCGAGTGGAGTTTTAAACCACTGTATCTTAAATGTCACCTTGAATACTTTCACTGAAATGAATATGACTGTATCAAAAACATCGTCTGTATTTCTTCAACCTGATGAGCAGTTTGTAAAAGAACAATTGAAAAAGTGTATTTAGTAGAATTCCTTGTCTAAAGTTCATTTTTTTAAACTATAGAACTATTACTTAGATTCAAATCGATTTTCGTATAACAATTTATATTATTTCATTACTATTCTAGAACGTAATTCTGTCAAATATTGTGAGTTCCGCGCTGAAACATTATAACTGGACTGAATTAGAACAAAAAACAAAAACTCAAAAACCGATTCATATTAAACGTCCAATGAATGCTTTTATGGTCTGGGCTCAGGCAGCACGAAAGAATATGACAAATAACTTGACTACTGTTAACAATGCACAATTGAGTAAAACATTGGGAAAATTATGGAAGTATGTATAATAAGTATTGTTCTGATTGAGAGATAGAATTGTTTTCATTTTATTTTTAGAACGCTACCACCTGAACAACGAAAACCTTTTGTTGAAGAAGCGGAGCGTATACGTGAACAACATAAAAAAGACTATCCAGATTACAAGTATCAACCAAAACGAAAAGTAAAAGGTAAGAAAACAGACATTTCTTAAAGTCGATATCGCACCATTCTATTCTGTTTCACAGATTCATCAAAAGTTACCTCGTTATCTCGTTATCATCCGTATAGTTCAATAACTTTATCGTCATCGATTAATGATAGTCTTCAAAGTACTAGTTCACCAAATTCATCTATCCATTCAAATTTATCACCGCAGTTATTGGTAGATGAATTTGATTCCGAATATAAAGAAAATTTGTGTTTTCGATCATATCCATCAACTGAAACACCAATAGACACAAGTATTCATCCATCATTACCGTTAGGAATTGATGATAAACAGTTAACACCAAATGATTTTGACTCATTTAATTATTCAGGTGAGTTTATTGGAATTTGAAATTGAATAGCTCGGATTTCGAGACTCTCACTCGAGCTTGTTTTAATTTAAAACGAGAAAGAAAGAATACTACGGAAAAAGAAAATCGAGATCTAGTATCCAAGTATTCAGGGTAGAACTTCAAGCCGATAGTAAGTTATATAATGCAACAATGTGAAGAAGCCAACTAGATACTAGAATCCCACTGCACAAAGATTCTAAATTGAACTTTCAATTATTCCTGAAAGGTACTCCGTCATACTTAGCAATATTGCTTTCGTTTTAAATAAGCAGTAAATTGATATCTAATTCACTTTTATATTATTCGTTTAGCTATGTACAACGCGTATTATTCTCAAAATGCTTATATGCCTGAAAACTGTTATGAAATGAATGGTAATTATGTATTTTCCTATTCAACAACGCCTCCGTCACTACCTTGCCATTATGATATCAATATATATTCAAATGATTACACTTTGTCACCATCATACTCACCAACGTCACATTTAAGATATAATCTATCGCCAGAAGAAAACTCTCATCTGTCCGACATATCCCGATATTCATAGTTAGCCATTTTCGATGTTTCATGGTAATGTATATTCTGCAAAGATTTTTGTGTCTGTATTTCTTTTCGTGTATACGTGTATCGTTTACTATTTAATTTACTAAATTATTGGTCTCGAAGAGAAAAGGTCGTATTCAGCGTAGCGTTTATTGAAGACGTGTACCATTATTTACAACTTTCACACATAGAGAGTTAGTAGTTGTTCCTGGATTTTTGGGAGTTTTGACGTTTTTGATTATCCGTTATTAAATGTATACAACGAAGATACGGCGAAACAGCCTATCAGGTCCTTGCCGACGATTGTTGGTAATTGCACTTGAGCGTTTGTTCAACATTCCTGTACTTTTATTTATTAACGGTTGTTGTTTCAAAGCTTTTAATATTTATTCTTGAATTTGGTGCTGATGAGTTCAATAATAATTGAATGTTTCGATACATCAGTTATATTTTTGAAATTTTTGGAAAACGATGAAAATTTCGTATTCTGAGTCTGTTTGGTTTTCTTATAGCGAAATCTTTGCTGTATGTTTTCAGCCAAGGTAACGAATACAATTGAATGAGAAAGTCCAAAAAGGCTCTGAGATCATGTTGAACTAAAATTTTTATTATTAATTGATATTTTTTCTGATTATTGACGTGTGACTATCCATTCGAGTTTACAGATACGCAATGAAGAAACTAATCCTCCGCTTTCTCCCAATTTTACTGCCTAACAAGAACAGCATAACACTTTCATCCGTCAATTATCACCAGCTCTGTTATTTGATCTAAAAATTCGGTATTGAAAATTGTGTGATTGTTTCTCTAGTAAATGTCGGGTTATCCAGTGATCCTTAAATGGACTTCGGGTATCATTCTGCCTATTTTTTGACCGTTTTCACGTGTTTCAACTAGAAACATTCAAGTGCTTTGGATTGGAAAGTTCAAATAAAAAACATTTTATGGTGTTCGTGTTGCGACCACGCTTGCACCATTATGGCGGTTAACAACCTGCTTATCGTGCATTTTTTGAACTCAGTGATTTCTTTTTTGATTTATAAATTTAAAGACTGAGTTGAAAAATTTCAGTCGTTTTTTGATTCATCCAAACGATGGTACTATCAGTAGTACTGTTCCTATTACGGTCTAGTGAAAACCCTTGGCACCTCTTAATATTACCTGACTAACGAGGGAACTACGTCAACTGATCCAGCGCTTTCGACTTCATATTTTGCAATTGATAGACCTTGTTGAGTAAGAAACACCTAAAAGCATTCGTGCCCATGTTCCTTCGTTTCGGGGATATTTGAGTTACAAGTGAATTTCCTCCTGTGGCACTGGTTTTTCTTGAAAAGCTGAAATGTTGAATTTCAACTTGAAACTTTGCACAAATGAAGACCTTTACTAGACTAGTCTCTGTACAAAGTTTCACAATTCTTGGATGTGTATTCATTTCTGCAAAGTTTCAAGTTGTAATTCAACATTTCAGGTTTTCAAGAAAAACCAGTGCCACAGAAGAAAATCTATTACCATTCGTTCGGTAAGTCTAGAATAGTTATGGCGTGGCCGACTTAGTATAGCTTGGATTCGAATGTGAGAAGGAGCCAACTCAGAACTGAAAAGCAGCACTTAAAGTAATACTATGTTTCATCTGAAGGCTGTATCACCATCATCAACAGAAATATCCATTTCTACGCTCGCAAAAATAGGATCGTCCGTATAATTGCATCCCTCGTCTAAACTGCAAAAAAACAATTTAGACTGAAATTTCACTTGCTCGACATCTGAAATATCGATAAATGAAGAAGTATCGACTAAATGAGAAAAGTTTTTTCATCTCACAAGGAACGAGATAAAGACTGCTAATACTCAAACTACGCTTTGACATGCTGAATTCTCAAGGTTTCAGCCTCATCACTGTTACTAGTAGATAGTCGATCGATCACACTTTAATTTTGTATAACTTTAAGCTCCGTGTAAATATCATAAAGCTCATTATTTGAAGCATAAAAACTAGCTACTTTTTCTTTTTACTTCTTTTCTGAGTTGCCGTACTAAGGGGTGCATTTAGCCAATGAGAATCAATTCTGCGCACGTTTGTGTGAATTTCATTTATGAGAAATACAGTTCATATATGGTTCATCCATTCACTTCCTTTCTTAATTGATTAATAAACCTGAGATAAACGTTAATAGGTAAGATTTCGTTATTTAGTGTGAATAGTTCGGTTTTCAATGATTCATACATTTGTTGTGAATTCAACTCGCACATTTTGTACAGCTCAAATAGTTCTTGACCATCCACTTTGCCCAATAACGGTTTCATTGCGCTGAGATTCGCCCCGTCGATAAAATGCAAAACATCAGCGTATGACCATTGCTGAACGCATGAAGTGTTTGATGTCAGAGGTAACGGTGGTTCATGTTGGTGATTTAGAGGAGTGGAAGACTTTTGCTTATGAATGTCTTCTATAAGTTTATCGCATGCTGGTTGAAAACCCAGTTTCGGATAATCAATATAAATTCGTGATCCAGCAATAAAACTGAGCCACCCATCAGGTCTATATTTTTCTCTCATTATTATCGGTATTATAGGTCGACGTGTCTTATGAGCAAATTCAGCTTCTGACTGACAGCTAGGACTTGTTTTATACAACTCAGACATGCACAATAGAACACATTTCGATTTTTCAATCGCATTTGCCATGGCCTGAATCGTTGATCCGTACATGTGATCTCGATCAAGCCAAACACGAAGTTGCTTATCGATCAAATATTTATGTATTTTATAACACAATTCCTTGTCTTGATGAGAATAACTTAGCATAATGTCGTATTCTTCATTCGACGTCGTTTTTTCAGCTGTAGCTATCGAGAAATCAGCTTTATTCTTCAATTTCCAAATAATTCCTACAGCTGCTTCATGCCGGCGTACATTGCTCGAGTTCGAAGATATAATCGCTTTTAGGTAAGAAATAAATTGATGATTGGACGCATCTCTTAGCTCAATGGCTGCTGAATCGAGAAAGGTCATTGACCAAATTATCTCGAGAGCTCGTTGTTGAATGTTAAATACATTGAATTTTGAGTCTGTTGCACATTTAATAAGAAGATGTATGCCCTCTTGTGTAACAATTTCCCGTTTGATTTGGTCATGTTGAACAAGTGCTAGAAAGCATGATTGTTACTATTTAAAACAATGAATTGTGAAGAGAAAATTGACAAAAAAAATAACTTCATGCTTTTGTGTGACGTTCCATTTCTCAATAAATTATGTCGCACACAACTAAGATGATTTGTTCGTAAAAAACAGGTTTACGTTGTTTGCACCAGAGTCCCTCTTGTAAGTTATGAGTCAGCTCAAAAGCGTTTTTAATGCTTTGTTCGATTACGCTTAGCCAGCCAGATAGTATAGAGTAAATTTTCAAGCCATCATCGGAGAACAGAAGGTATGTAAATGAAATCAACATTGTAACGCGTCATACGATCGAATACAAAAGTGAAACTTAACATGTGCCTAAAATTCTATGTCGGCTGGCATTTCTTTTTTCCTTAGAGTACAGTGGGCATCTGAGTGTTCATTTATCGAAAAAATGAAAAGGTTTATTTTTCAATTTTTCCAATAGATAAAAATATTCCACACTGTGGGCTATCTACTTCTAAAAAATCTTTAATCGCTCTCTGCTGATGAGAAAACCCAGCCATGAATTGTTTACACGACTTCTTATTTACGTGCGGTTTAACATTTTGTTTTTCCATGGACTTTTCTCAGCATGTGTGATTATGCTGTTTATCACACACTTCAAAGTTGCTGTGTTCGAACCTCGCCACGGACAATTTATGTAATAATGTTGGGCAAGTTAATTCTGTGATACGAGGTAACCGTCCCAAGAGATTCACCCCGATTTAACTAAAAGTTTTCATGGATTATTTTTGATGCTGATCACGAATTTGATATTCGTTTCGACCCATATGGCTTTCCAATATAGATCTAAATGAATATCAAATTCATGATCAGCATCAAAATTAACCTATGAAAACTTTTAGTTAAATCGGGGTGAATCTCTTGGTACGGTTCCCTCGGTATCATCTCGGATCATCCTAACTCACAAGGACTCTTTTGTACGGAAGATATCGAGTCGTTAAAACTGACACTTGGCAGCGCCATACACTGATAACTTAGCTTCTAGGCATTGTATTCTTCCTTCTTTACGAGTAATATTTTGGTTGCCTTGTACAGTAAACTAAGAATGTGTGAAACGTAGCTGAAAAGTTGGGTTGTCTGGCTGTCAAAGATAACAAAAATCTATTACCTCTCAAACTATATAATAAACTTGTTAGTTTTCCACCAGGACTTGATTGAAATTGACTATCTACAGCTTGTTTAATAAAATCGATAAATACCGTTGTGATTTTACCCGGATCATCCGACTGTTTAATATCATCTTCGTTCATTACAACTGCTAATATTTTATACGCATACGTTTGTATCGGTTTATATTTTGCATTTGTTAACGTCATAAACGTTTGAGTGTTGTGATTGGCTTTGATGTAAGCGGTGAGCTCCGAATCGTTTTCCAATGATGATAAGACCCAAATGGCGGTATAAATAAGAGTGGTTTCAACGTTCTGTTCTTGTTTAAGAACCTGATGATGTAGATGTGATGAGTTCAAAATCATCATGATTGAATCGATAATTTTTAAATGGCCGTTTAATCGTTTTCGTGTTGAGTCAAATTCTCCAAATCGTCGTAAGACGTAACTGATATATTGAACTGCTTTCATCATTGATTCATTCCAATTAGATACAGTTTGTGTTAATTGACATAGAACTTGTTCAAAACGTTTTAACATTATATCACCTAGTTTATTCGTCAATTTTTCAGCGTATATGCCACGATAACGTGAAAAATAGTATGAACACGTAATAACGAGAAATTCTTCCTGAATAGTTAGCGTTGTCGACGCTGTTAAGTTTGTGAGTATAGTGAAATAATTTATCGAACAAATACATTTCATAACTGGATCGAGTAGTGTTAATAGATTTTCATCATCCGTTATGTCAGGTCGGTCGTATTGAAGAATATCCAACATAAACAAAAGTTTACTAACTCCTTCGACTACATCACAATTAACAGTGGATAACTTAGGTAATATATGTTCAAGAAACGCACTTATTGACTTAATAAAGGGTTTAGTCAACAGTAAATGTTTAAATGCTGCAACATTTTGCTCATCGATTGCAGTTATCATGGTGGATAACAAATCAGTTATGGATTTAAACAAACGTATTTCTTGTTCGGATAACGCTAACCATTTATTTAGTATCTGAGTGAGTACGGTGATTATATTAGAAAATATTTCATGTGATATTTGATTTGGCTTCTTTAATTGAGAAGAAAATGACGTTAATTGTCTAATTATTTCACATAATGTCTCTGGTGATTCATTTTTGTTCCAACCAAGAAAACAATTTTCGAGTTGGTTGGAGTTAGCGTTAGCAGACATTATTGTACTTCCCTTGCATCTTTTAGAAGCATTTAAATGTTATAGTGTACCACTTTCTTTTACAAGAGAAAAAAAGACCATATTTTGAAAATTTTCTAGAATTTTTATAACCTTATTTTGAGAATTATAGCACTCGAGTAAAATGAGGTCATTTTTTATTTTATTCACGATATTTCGATAGAAAAACCATAACAACAGTTTAACAACAAATTATGCTTTATTTTCTTCTTCTTCAATAAGAAGAATATAACTTCTTATTTAAACAAGATAAGTTGTTATCATTTGACTAGCAATGACACGTAGGTACGTGCATTCATTTTCTCCACGATGTTTCACACCATAACCCAGCTGAAGAGACCCTTGAGCAAGGTCGAAACCGGTCCTGGGTTGCTCCGCGTTTTTTCTTTTTCTAAAAAAAGTTTTCCACAAAAGTCGAACTTTTTCAAGATTGTCGTTTTTGGTTCAAAAGTTTTAACACTACCAATAATGTCGACCGATTGATTATACTTCATACTAATACCGGTATACCGGTCGCCGTTATAATTCATACCAGCACCGGTTGCACCTCTGCTGCATATTACAACCTACTGTAGAGGAGGTAAAGGAATTTTTGTGAAAATTTCTGTAGTTATTTACTATAGATCCCTCGAAGGTGAAAGAAAGATTTTCATTCAAAAGTTGCCTCTTAGAAAGATTCAATGCAATTGGACTGATGACATGACTAATGAAACAAAATCATAATTCGATTTTTTGAACTTGACGATTAATCTCTATAATTGTAATAAAACATCTGAAGAACAGAAATAAGAATATAGAAGTAAAGCAAAAAAAACTAGCGAGCCATGCGGAAATGTCTTTGCATAATGATAATAGTAGAGTACACCGAGGATACTCACAATTATTATAACATCAACCTTTCATGCATTTCTCACTTCTGTGCAGTTTTATTTTGAGATCTTTACACAGCAAACATTAACTGAGTCTATAATTAAAACAAGGGGGAAACAGCGGACTCCAATCCTATGGAGTTTCGTGGAGTTCATTGGAGCCCTTAAAAGTATTATCAGAAATCATCGGATTCGTCGTAGAAAATTACCTTACAAGCTGTGTTTTACCAGTCTCGACATCAGAAAGAAAAGATTCTCTTTGTAAAATTTAATTCTTGATTGGAAAACATAACATTTCTTTATATTTTATCTCCCTCAAATTCAGCTGATTCTACAACAATTAGTCTAATAAAATATCTCTTTTATAATGTACAGACATAAAAGAAAAACAAAAAATCAAGTGACATTTTCTTTAATCTTTTTTTATTCATCTGCATGGCTCACAATCATTTATCGTTTAGCCCTCGACTTTGGTTGACTATTGAAAATAACTGATCAGACCGTTTTATGCAGATATTTTGTATCGAAATTGATTTCAACTTCCAAGTAAAAGTGTTTTAAATGTGGCTCATTTCCACAGGAAAACCAGAAAAATCTGCTTTTTTCTTTAAAGCTATTACAAAAATACTTGCTAATCGTTTTTTCAATATTCATCACATTATTATCAAAATCTGACTGTCATCTTCAGAATATCGGTAAGGGTGTGATCATGTATGAACACAGGGAAAAAAAAGGACACATAATTTCGAATGTACTCGAAGTAAAGCTCACTGAGCCGCGCTCATGAAGTCAAAAATCGAAAACACTCAAATTGAGCTTTTTCTCTAAAAAAAGGAGCCTCAATCAGTGAATATCTACGGACAACCATTATTTGATAATAGGCATGTCACGTTAATAGAGAGAAATGTTGCTTTAGTATTGTAGTGATCACCACTTCTGGCAGTTTTTTTTTTGTGAATTCTAAGTTTTCTATCTTTTCATTCATGCGACACTTATAATCTGAAATAATTGATGTTCGTACGTTTTCGCAAAGCGACAAATGCACACATTCGTTCGTCGCTTTGCGAAAACATACGAACACCAATTATTTCAGATTATAAGTGTCGCATGAATAGAAAGATAGAAAACTTAGACACATATTGTGGCTTCTCAGCTGAAGGCAAAGATGAGGATGATTGTGTTTAGTGCTATTTTTATCGGTATTAATCACACTTCAATCCATTTTCTACTCTTTAATATTACCAGTGATGCATTACCAGTAAATACAGGCAGGAAACTGCTAGAACTATTTATCAGTATTGTAGTTTTTATTAGATCTGTATTCTAATAGATAGGATATTTTGAAAAATAGAATTTTCGCATTGACAAGCAACAACTAATGTAAAATATAGGAGTCGATGGGTTGCAAAATTTTATCTGAGCCTGGCTTTGTAAAAAACTCTGGAGATGGCTGCAATTCCAAAGATGTGTCGAAAAGTAGAAAAAATTAGTTTGTATAGATATTTTGGAAGTTCCTCACTATGTAAATCGTATCTAAGTAAATCGAATATTAAATGCAAACTAAGGGGCCTGTTCTTGTTCTCTAAACTTTTGTCTTTTACGCTAGAAACTTCTAGCTGTTCGGACGTTCCTTTGCTGTAACACAAAGTTTGAAATTCGTTCCGGTTTTTGTATCGCATGTTAGGATCGTCATCTATTATTATACCAACACTAGCAGAAAAGAACTCAAGCAAATTAAAATTTTTATTTGAGTATCCTCGTCTTCTTCCTTCCTATCTGTATATTATACATCAAAACTGGCCAATGGCTAGTTTTCTTTTGTATAAGGTTTTGTTTCAGTTGTTTGATTGCATTACATGCATGGTTTTATCATTATTATTAGATATCGGCAATAGATGAAATGATCTTTCCGTATCTGAACATTCAGTAGAGACTTTTTTATTGTTAATTCAAATGTTCAGATCATTGTTCCCAGTTCAGTGCCTTATTTTGTCTAATAATAATTCAAGGAGGAGAAAAAACGTAATAATCAGTTATCATTGGACTGCAGGACTCCAAAAGCATTTTGAGTCCCTTTTGGAGTCCGCTGTTTCCCCCTTGAATTATAACCATTTCGTGCAAATTACACGGAAGAAACAAAAAACAACTTTCACCGTCTCTCAGAAGCTGATTTTGATAGTATGCCAAATGGCAAAGTTTTTTAGAATCCTAAACTGTGCCACATATGCAAAGCTCGCAAAACGACGAGTAAGAAGTAACCTTAAAAGCATCTCTAACACTTTTTCTTAACTTTTTAAATATCAGAAGTAAAGGATCTGACTGGCCTCAGAGCAGAAGATTGAAAAAGAAAAAGTTCAGACTATCAGATTCTTCAGAATCTTATCTTTTTGTCGCAGATAACTGCACAAAACACGGCTGGGAATAGACTATCGTATTTAAGAAATACCTTGAAAGACCAAACGTTTTTGCAAGAAACCATGTCGGTTTGAGGCAAAGAAACTTTTGCAAGCGACAACTGTAAAGGTTAGACATCGCTCTTCCGAAATCGGACGTCGAATGACCTTTGATCTTAGTCAGTTTATGAACTATAAGCGATATATTGCTCGACGAGGTTATTTCAACTGTAAAATTGAGCGTGAGAGTTGTCCTTGCAATTAGCCACTATTCGAGTGCTTCTCCAATCCGTGTGGCTTCCGATTTGGGAAGAGCGAGTCTAACCTTTACAGTTGTCGCTTGCAAAAGTTTCTTTGCCTCAAACCGACATGGGTTTGTGCAAAACCGTTTGATCTGTCAAGTTATTTCCTAAATATAATAGTCTATTTTCAGTCGTTTTTTGTGCAGATTTCTGCGACAGAAAGATGAGATTCTAAAGAATCTGATAGCCTGAACTTTTTCCTTTTCAGTCTACTGCTCTGGAGCTTGATTTATGCCTGGTTATAATTACCCCAGTCTACTCTGTATAGTGGACTGATTTCGACAAGTAAATCTGTGGACCGATTTGTAATCAGTTTGTATCAGTGCATTGATAGATAACTGGGCAAGATTATATTATTAAACAGCAGAAGTAAAAAGTTTAAAAAACGGTACAAATATATTATGCTAAAGATTCTACAAGTCTTGTTTTTCTTTTAAACCAATTTGAATATTTTCCATCGGTGCCTCTTCCGCTTTTTTTGACATTTCTGGATGTGGTTTCGCACTTGCAACAGATTCAGCTCGATCAAATTCTCCAGCTAACCTTTCTTGCTCTTGTTCATTTATTATTGATTGTAACGGAATAATAATTTTCCTTTCTTCATCATCTAAACGAGAAATCATTCATGCATCAAGTGCTAGTAATGAATAAGAATTCACATTAACTTAACATTATAGCTACGCATAGGCGTTACCTAAATGATGCAACAATGGCTTCATTGATTCCCTTATTTGTTTCCAGTATGTGTTATCATCTCTACTATTCTCTTGTTCTGGTACCATTTCTAATAATAGCTTTAACTCTTTATCTAATTTTCGATGTTCGTTCAACGAATGTTCAACGACATGTTTTCCGTTTTCTAGATATTTTTCAACAGCAGGATAAAATGCTATTTCTTCTTTGTGACCATGTAAACAAATAAATTCAATCCATTTTCGAACACTTTTTTCTAATTCAGCAGGATCTTGAATCATCTTTAACTGCTCATACGTATGACGCATATATTGATGTTCAGATAAAATTAATTGTAAAATACTACGAGAAACTTTGGCAGATGTCATCACAATAAAAAATAAAATAAACAAATAATAATCTTTCACTGTAAAGTACGTTGTATAAAGTATTGAGATCTAAAATATGATATATGTTAAATCGTTATAGAGAGGTACGTTGTCACTAGAAGGTGCATCAAGTAGACGTTTCTTTAGTCTTGACCAGAAAAATGACAGGAAGTTTTTCTATTGAGCCAAGAAATGGGCCTCATTGAGATACTCTTAAGTAATAAAATTTCTCGTGTTTTTTGACTTATGATCTTAAGCTGTCATTTAGTTGTCACGAATGCAATGAAAAATTGGCCAGATAGATTACGATGCCATTGTTAACTGCAGGCTAGAAACATCGTAAGACTGTTCTCCTCAAGAGAGACTATTATTAGATATTGAAAAGCGAACGTTCAACATAGAACCGTCTTGTTTTTTCAATGTTCTCGTTTTGGTCACAAATTTGACAGAAAAAAAGGTTTTTGTATTTTTTAAATTCGGCAGCATCTGTCTTTGATAGAAGAAATTAGCACCTGACGACAGGCAGCGCTAACATCAAGATATGGAAAGAGCAAAAGTTAAGCACAAGTTTATTCGCCATATAGCAATAGTGTTGTGATTGTAACTTTATCGTCCATTGATGCACGACCGTATTCCACTCTCTGCTCATTAGCTTACGAATTGTGACTAAAACTACAGCAATATTATGCTTTTCCTGCTGCCAAGTTCTACAATGACATTGTTACACTTTTACTGCGCCACTGCTAGACCTTTGTTATTGTTCTTTGCTTTATTTGACCGAACCAAGTCATACCATCCTGAATAAGCTAACCAAAACTTTTACTACTTCAAAATCATGGTTGAGGAATTTTATCTCACCTCAATCGAGAAGAGTTCAGAAATACAGAAACAATGCAATTCTTGTTTCGACACAAAATAATAGATACCATGGACTAAAAACCTGAAAAAAATTCAGAACAAATTTCAAGAAAGAGTAACGTTTGAGAAAAAACTAGTGAGATTTTCGAAAATTAATGATATTTGGTAACTAACAGAAAATCTATCTTTAGAAAAGTTTGGAAATAGTCTTATGGTATTGAACATAGCTCACTGCATAGCACACCATAAGCAGTGGTAGTTTCAGAACTATTTTGAGAAAGTATGAAGTACGTGTGGTCGTCATCGAAACGCAAATTTTGACAGCAGTTATGCTGGGCAGTAATCCTTTAGCAGGTACTCTCCCAGAAATGCGGTAACACTTAGCTGGTGTTCCCCATAGCGATTTAGTATTCCTCTAGTAAAAAAGTGATTGAGTAAGAAGAAGTATAGTTATATTGTTTAATCGAAAAAATAGACAATGAAAAAACGAAATGAAACAAAACAAAAAAAAACATTACATACAAAACCGTTGAATATCTTTTAGGATTGACGGAAACATGTCTTTGTGGACCGAACAGTACCCGAATTCGTTTAAATGGCTCGCTAACAATGTTGAGCTCATCTGAGTTATTAATATATAGTTTTTCCATGAATACATAACTTACCTTCCATCATCTTTGTAAAAACTTCAACAATATAACTACATTTCTTACTCAATCATTTTATACTGGCGAAACACTAAGTCGCTATGGGGAATACCAGCTATGATGCTATCACGTTTTTATGGGGAGCACCCGCTAAAGGACTACCTTGCTGGCCAAAAATCATTTTTTTCCTTCAAAGGTATAAGTCACCGCTTGTAGCTATCGCTGACTGGATCCTCCAGTGTCCATAAGCGCAACAAATCTCCGAAAGGATTTGTTTCCCCTTATTTAGGATGAAACTGTTCTTCAAGTTCGAGAGTGGGTCTGCGTTAATATCTCAATGAAAACAGTTTTATTTAGCATAAAAATTCAGAATCAGATTATTTAACATGCCCATCTAGAATGAGGTCTAAAAATATATTGTACAGTAGCAGATACACACTATTGACATGATTTGACTTTATGATGCTTTTCCTCCCTTGTCAGACTTGACTTCGACAAGGGATATTGGATACCGACTATGACGATATAAATGATAATCATGCTCTTCTTGTCAAAATGACATGAATCAGGCTCACTCAGACATCCTCCTGATCTTCCTTAGCCGACCTTGCAGACTCGTTGAATGAATGAATGAATGAATTTTATTCACGAAAAGTGAGAGTCATCAAAGGTCACCGACCTATAAAACAATGACTCGAGCCAAACAACAACAAAAGAATCTATAAATAGAAAAAAAGAATAAATAA